GTGGGTGTGGGTGTGAGTGGGTGTGGGTGTGGGTGTGGGTGTGGGTGTGGGTGTGGATGTGGGTGTGGGTGTGGGTGGGTGATGTGGGTGAGAATGACGAGAAAAACCACACCCACACCACTGTATACACGTTGTTGTTCTTTTTCATATTTTTCTCACTTTCATATTTTTTTCTCAGTCTCATTAATTCGTGTCTAGCCTGACGAAGAAAAAATTCGAAACGCGTTGCTTATTATTAATCTTGTTTATTTCTTATTCAAATAAACTAAATTTATATCTATTTTTCCTCATTCAATTTCGTCCTTAACTCATCTCCAGATTTCTTCAATAACAAAAAAGAAAAAAAATTCTATATTTATATATTATATACTTATATCATTCCAAATATATGCGAATCGATTTCGTCTATTTTCCATAATTCATTAAAACAAATAATTCAATTTTGACAACAATCGATTCGAATCTACAAAGAAGAATTTAGATCAAATAACTAGTTCAAACTTCACCAATTCATAATTGACGAATCGAATCGATTTACATCAAACATTAGACAAGGGAGAACCAGCAGAGACTTCAGCCGTGAAGTCTCATGAAGTCTTGTAAGTCTTTTGAAGTCTTCTGAAGTCTCTTGAAGTCTTTTGAAGTCTTATGAATTATCATAAAGTCTCATAAAGTCTCATAAAGTCTCTGAAGTCTTTGAAGAGTCTTGAAATCTCATGAAGTCTCATGAAGTCTCATGAAGTCTCTTGAAGTCACTTGAAGTCTCTTGAAGTCTCTTGAAGTCTTTTGAAGTCTCATGAAATCTAATGGAGTCTCGTGAATTCTTTTGAAAGTTTTGAAATACATTTAGTGCATGAAAACTCATAAGAAACCCATGAAATTGTCTTGTTTTCGACGATTTTATTTTAGCAGAAAGGTGAAATATTTATTGTTTTTTTTTCAATGTGCTGGAAAAAATTCAAGCTTGTTTGGTCTTAGTAAACGTAATAGTTAATAACTGAATCTTTTTGAATGAAGTGGTTTATTTTTATAAGAAATGTTTTATCTATCCAAATCAATCTGATGAAGAATTTTAATCCTTTTTGTTTGTTTCTATCACTCCTGATAATCTATCAGCCGATAAACGGCTAGCTTTGTCAGTTAATAACCAACAAGCCGTTTGCTCGTGTATAAATTTAGTCTTGTTATTTATTTGCGCTTGAAAATAGGAGTTTTTCATTGCTGGATTGATCGAATCAAATATACGCATACCAGTAAAATTTATTTTCTAATTTTTAATTTCATCAACACTTTGTGTCGTTGCCGCATCTTTATCTTCTTCATCTACATTGATTAGATCACTATTAAATTCATTACTTTCCATTGTTTCATCATCATAATCAGATTCAGAATCTGATGAAGAATCTGCATCCGTTGCCGAATAAGTATCCGAATTAATGTTGGATCTAATACTATCAAATATATTTTTACTTAAACCATTAAGTTCACAAGCATTGCATTTCTTTAATGAAGGTAATATATTCAAATTACTAACTAGTTCTTTTGTACGATTAAATGCAGCTAAAATAATATTTTCACCATTATTTAATCCTCGTTGCTAAGGGCTGTAATGGGGG